GGTGATGAAATGTGAAGCCTCCCCACATCATTACACTTCCCCCACCCCATCGATTCGTTTCGAAGACGCAGCAGTCTGCAAGACGTTCCTCAAGACATCTCCACACACGTTGACGGCCATCAGCGTGATAAAGATGAAAGCAACTCCCATCACTGAAGAGCACACTTTGCCAGTCTACTCTTCTCCATGTCTGGTGTGTCCTTGAGCCCCTATCAAACGCCGCTGACGGTGATGATCCCTGAGGATAGCTCCAACATAAGGTCGTCGTCGAGTCCTACTTCTCTTAGACGACGTCTTACGGTGTTGGCACTTACTGGTCCTTGTCTTTCGACCACTGCCGCACATGTTTGAGTCGCTGGGCAGAATCTGTCACGCAGATGAGTGACCCGGATGTAGCGGTCTTGAGCCTGGGTTGTAACGCGTTGTGGACCAGGACGTTGACGGTCACGCGTTGATCCAGTAACTCGAATACGTTCCACCAACCTTACAGTAGTGGACTGATGACAATTGAGGTGTTTGGCAATAATAGCACGCGTAGACATGCCAGCCCTGGACATTCCCATGGCTTCATTCCGTTGATTTTCAGTAAGTCTCGGCATCTCTAGCTCGATTCCTTCACACGTCCAACAACAAATTACGACAAATTGACGTTTCACAGTTCATGTACAACACATTAAGTTGAAAACATGCTTTTAAAGGGCTCACACACAATGCTGCACGTGAATATTGGGTTTTTCATGTGCATCTCATGCAATTTTTTTTGTGCACACGGGCCGAAATTTTTTGCGTTTGGGAGCATTGTGTGAAACAATAGTTCATAGTATTGCATAATATTATACATACAAAACCAACTAGTAATAAAATAATTGGGAAAAAAAGTGATGCGTTTTCCATGGCGCTCAGTAATATAACGGTATCTACTTAAAATGATCATTTAAATACTTAAAAGAGATTGAATTGATTTCATTATTCTTTTATTATTATTTCTTTTTTTTATACCGGAATAGTATTATTAAATTTACATTAGCACTATTAGATGTCGATCTACGGCTGTTTTTATTAATAATTTGTTTAGTGAAACCGAATGATAAAAATTGCGTTAAGTCTACGTCGATCGAGATTTTGCCGTGGGTAACAAAACTCCGTCAAATCAAATAGCCCAGTGACGTGTAGAATAGATCAAATGGCTTGCTATGTGTCGCAAATTATTCGTTTAACGGCTATGTATATGAGTAATATGAAAAAACTAATGATGAGAGATTTCATTTAGATTAGATCTACTTGCGCAACACATCAACGCAAATGTCTAGCCTAGACTAGTGCAGATCACGTCGGTTCTAAATTCTACGTCGCTTGGCCTAGACTCGTGTATTCTGAGCGGACTGACACAATCATGCAGCTGGTCCAGCTAGTTTTAATAGTTAAAGCAAGAATTTCATATTTTCTAAGAAAGTCAAAACATAATTATTTCTATATCTTTTGCTCAATAGGCTGTCAACTCAATAATAACACCGGAAATAATAACACAATTACCACCTGTGTTGTTCCACCCCCCCCCCCCCATGGAAAAACTATCTGCAAACATTTGAATTTGAAGTTGAAAATGATATTTTGGCCAATTTCTCAACTGGCAATAGTGATCAAGGTAGGACTGTTTATAGATACCATCTATTTTAAAGCTTTACTTTAATACATTTTAAAAATATAACTTAAAAATATGAAATTCACTCGGCACAGTTGCAGTCTGAGTGTGTTTTGAAATGAACGTCGCCACTTACATCGCGGTCGTCAACAAAGTCCATGCCTACATTGCCGGTAATCATATTCGAGGGGCTTTCATATTCAACTTAATAATAATAGTCTCTGTTACTACATGATGTATGTATAGGTGCGCGTGTTTTACATACATGTAAATATAGTTGGTGTTTTTGTTGTTTTATAGCCATTGATAATGCTGTTGCGTAGGTAGCCTAATGTTTTGTTTGTATTTGTATGCTGTCTCTAATAGCCTAATGGGGTGTTAAGATACAATATAATTTTATCTGATGTTATATTAGCCTTAGAAGAAGCAATTGACGATTTTTATATCCCTTCCACATACCCGGTTGAGAGTTAAAATAATAGAACTTACCTTCGGCACGAACCAAAAAACCAATATGGCGTCCCAGAAGCATCTTTCGCGGCAACATTTAGAGTCACGTTATCAGTTTCCGCGGGAAAAAAAACCGCTAGTGTTACCAGATAATTTACTGAAGAATTAACCGGAATATTTGTCAGCTTCTAGTTGTTTTACAATAAGCCTTAAATAAAATGTATTATAGTTTGTATTGTGTTATTAAATCTCGATCTACGTCGTTAACCAATACAACTGTACCCAAGATCATACGTCAATTTCTATAGATAAGCGCATTGCAATTCCTGTTTTATGCACTGAATTTGTGTAGCAAACGCTGCACACTACACAATATGCATTAATCACCATTTTCTGTGCTTTGTGTTATTATTTCAATTGAAAAACACCGGATGTAAAAACAGCGACATTTAGGTGCGGGAGAGGCATCTCGTTTACAGTTCATAATACATTTTTATAATACTTGACGGACGCAAACGCCTTTTCTTGCTTTCCCAACCCGTGTGCTCAGCAACATGAAAGCAAGCCAGTATTGCCTATTTAGTACACCAATAACTTTAATGCATTAAAGGAAATTATGATTTCCGAAAAATTATAAAACAAATAAATGACCGATGTCGCACACCGCCGAGTGGGACCCGACGAAATGTTTCAATCCGCTATCAATGCAGTACAAATTCGCCGTGTTCAATGACAAGAAAGTGAAAATGTTTTATTATACTTAAAAATCATCGAATTTGGGGCTCTTTATTTGACTGACAAGAAAGCAAAATATTTTCTTCCAAATAACATTCTGAAAGTTCCGCTTTCACTTTCTCTCGGGATTTTGAATGTGACTTTTTACCTAAATTGCTGCCGGGAACAGGGAATGTCAGGCAATGTCATGACCTTGACTCAGGTTACAACCCCAAAATTGACCTTGCGGGTGCGGGTCACGACTTTGACCATGACATTTATTCGCGATATCTGGGTGGTACATGAAGTTTTGGGACTTTTTCGATCCCAAGGTCAAGGGTCAGGTCAAAGGTCAAGGTCCCATTCGAAAGGTCAATGAGTTGCCTATCCATGGTCATGACCTTTGATTTGCCGCGCAGACCAGGGGCCCCACCATGTGCCCGGGAGCATCGAACTCAGTAGATATTTTGGTGACCTTGACCCTTTCAGATGACCTTGACCTACCGGGGTCATGTGGACCAAGATGACATTTTGGAAGGTCAAGGTCCAGTGGTCCTGACTTTATTAGATAGGCCCCTAGGGTTCAAAAACCAAAATACTTCCGGGGCCCCTAGCGGGTCAAGGTCACGACTTTTGGTTGGCGATTTTAAAAAATGAAGAACAAATGTTGGGTCAGTCTATCGGGTCACCAAACCCTGGGGCGATCGGAAGACATTTTTGGGGCAAATTTCCCTAGAAAGTGAAATAGCTGAGCATTACAGCGGTGTGGTCTAAGGGCAGATAACTCGCCAATCCCAAATCGGATCCGACGACCTTGAGGTCGTGGCTATTTAAACTAAATTGACCCCTGGGAGTCTCGTGGTGACCTTGGTTTGACAATCAGAGGTCAAGGTTCGAACTGCTATATATGACGTTTCGATAACGTTATGACAATGTTGTGACAACGTTTTAACAACGTTGTGACAACAACCTGTATATGAAGTTTTGATAACGTTGTGACAACGTTGTGACAACAACCTGTATATGACGTTTTGATAATGTTTTGAAGACGTTGTGACAACGTTGTGACCACGTTGTAACAACGCCGTGACAACAACCTGTATATGACGTTTTGATAACGTTGTGACAACGTTGTGAGAACAACCTGTATAATAATGACGTTTTGGTAACGTTTTGAAGACGTTGTGACAACGTTGTGACAAAGTTGTAAAACCGCTGTGACAACAACATGTATATGACGTTTTGATAACGTTGTGACAACAACCTGTATATGACGTTTGAATAACGTTTTGATGACGTTGTGACAACGTTGTGACAACAACCTGTATATGACGTTTTGATAACGTTTTGAAGACGTTGTTACAACGTTGTGACAACGTTGTAACAACGTTGTAACAACGCCGTGACGACAACCTGTATATGACGTTTTGATAACGTTGTGACAACGTTGTGACAACAACCTGTATATGACGTTAGAATAACGTCTTGATGACGTTGTGACAATGTTGTGACAACGTTGTGACAACAACCTGTATATGACGTTTTGATAACGTTTTGATGACGTTGTGACAACGTTGTGTCAACAACCTGTATATGACGTAAATACAACGTCGAATATTGGTCGAAAACACGTTGTACAACGTCACGACCAATATTGACGTTGTCACAATGTTGTAACAACGTTGCGTGCCCGCTGGGATGAGAGATATTTATTTTGACTTTCAATAGTCATGCAGGGGATACATGGAACCCTATTCTTTTAACCTCCTGAACCACTAGACATATTTCATTGTGAAGACCAAGATATATCATTAATGAAACTATCCCCTGAGTCCTTCCCTGATAATAAAGATTAATTTAGATTTGTAATTGGGATGGGACAAAAAAATAAATTTCTACAACTATATATAACATTTATTATGTGTAATCCATATCGAGGGACAAAGGCCTGGAATGTGGGTTTATTTTAAAAGTTGATGATCCGATATAAAGTTATCTTGATCTATCTTAAAACATCAATTATTGCATCCAAGGCAAGGCATAAAAATGTAAACAAATCCACGTGGTTAGTGGATTAATGTGTTAATATCAACACGTGGTGGGTGTTTTGCTTGGGCAGATTCTCAACAAAACAATACTTATCCCAGCATTGTGTGGGATCTTTTATAGTTGTATTATTTACTGATGAATTTACCTTAAATTCACCTTCAATGTAGTATTTAGAACCAAAATATGAACCCTTGACTTTTATTTCTAAATCCTGCAGAACAGTCTTGGTATTCGAGAAACATTAGAGAGTTACCAAAGGGGAATAACTCTAAGGAAAATGTGACTAGCCTGCAAAAGTTTGAAGAATATTGGATTACTAACTTTTATTGAAAAATCGTGAAAAGATCATTGGTTTTCATAAAAGTGAATAGATTTTATACTTAGATAATCATATTGTTTATTTCTTGGCCATTTTAATTCCTTTGAAAGTTATTGCACCAGATGTTTTCTTTGACTTTGTTTCTTTGCAAATTGCTCGAACCGACGGAGTGAGTAAAAAAAAACAACCCCAAAAAACCCCCAAAATTTATGAAAACAGTACCACTAAAACTGTGGTAGCTCACAGTATGAAGGAGCTGGCTCGCCAAAACAGAGGTCTTGTATTTGTTGATCCCTGTGTGGCCAAGAGAGTTCAACAGGATGTTCCGTCGTGGTTCCCCCTTGTCAGTGGTGCAGGACGGAGTAGTTTTAAAGTAGTTCGGATGGGACTGAAAACTGCGGTCCCGTGTACACATTGGCATGCACAGAAAAGAACCCTTGACAGTTGGAATTCATAGCACACTGTATGGCATATATGCGTTTTCATTAGCCTGTTAGGTGCAGAAAAGTAGGATGTTAATTAAGTGAATGGAAACATATCTAGGCCTACATCTTAGAAAAAACAATCTTATTTGCCTCTGTAGAGGGTTTAGTCACTTGTTGCATTCTCTTCTCTTTACTCAACTCTTCTTGTGTATAGTTTATTGGTGACCATTATTTCAACTGTACAGGTTTGTTCTATTCAGGACTAACAATATATGTGAATAATATATGTCATTGTTACTTTAGGGGGTCACTGTGACTAAGTGGTTAAGATGCTGCCTCGCTAGCTTAGAGGTCAGGTGTTCGATCCCTGCATTGGCCGAGAAAGTTCATCCAGATTTTCCGGCGTGGTTCCCCCCTTGTCAATGATGCAGGATGGAGGGCCTGACAAGGACAGCTGTCTAGTCGTTCGGATGGGACGAAATCTCGAGATCCCGTGTAGACATTGGTGCACACGTAAAAGATCCCTTACAGTTAGAATTTGATATAAAAGTAGTGCCGCTGTCCAGGCAAAATTTTTCTCATAGCACACTGTATGGCGTATGCCCATCTTCATTAGCCCAGTTCGGAGCAGATCAGTAGGAGGTTAAAGCCCATTTCATTTCATTTTCATCTCAATGTTACTATAATAATTAGCTTGTAGGTAGGGGTATTTAGCTGTTGAGGGAAACCAGAGGACCCGAAGAAAACCCATGTGGTTGGACAGGCGACCCTGTTTGATGGATCAAGACCATGCCACTTGTCTCATTGACAGAACTTACAATCTAGATGGGACACGTTAAACCATTCGACCACCCAATCCCCCTATTCTAGACAGTGTCAAACGTTTTTGCTTTAGTTTTGTACTTATTCATGTAGTCTTATTCACTTTATTTTTTAGATGATGAAGTCCGGAAAAATGAAAGTTAAAAAGTCTAAAAACGATTCACTAACCCCCAAAAAAGAAGGAAAATTAAAAGTTAAAAAAGCTAAAAAGGATTCACTGACCCCAAAAGAAGGAAAATTGCAAGTTAAAAAATTTAAAAAGGATTCATTTACTTTAAAAGAAGGAAAATTGAAAGTTAAGAAGTTTGAAAGGGATTTAGTGACACCAAAAGAAACCATCAAGTCAGAAATAATATACCCTAAAAGAGTTCAAGTTATTGGTCTTAAGAAAGGTAGAATATAATGTTTGATAATTAAAGATACATTATGGGAGATTTAGATAAGAGCTGGTAGTTCTTACTATAATACCTGTAGTTAAACACTAGACAATGTAAAGGGAATTTGCTGAAGATTTCAGTCAAATTGATCCACTCTGAACCGAGAATTTAGCAATTTGAATTTTAGGCCTAGCCTCGATCATCATTCCTAAAGTCGGTACGATAAAAAACATAGTCTTGATTATCCATATTTTGATTTAATCATCAATGAGCATTGAGCAGCAGATCAGATTCCAATCCAGTAAATATCACAGGCTAGCGATTACATTGCGAGTTGATCATGGTCTGGATAAGTTAAATAATGTCTAATTAATAATTTAGATAACATTTCAGGCCTAAAGTAAGACACTGGCTCGCTAGCCTGGAGGTCGCGTGTTCGATCCCTGCATTGGCCAAGAAAGTTCATCAGGATTTTCCGACGTCCAGTCGTTTGAATGGGTAAAAAAATTGAGGTCCCGCGTATACATTGGCATGCGTGTAAAAGATCCCTTGGCAGTTGGAATTCGATATAAGAGTAGGCCATAGTGCCACTGCCCGGGCTAAATTTCCCTTATAACACACTGTATGGCGTATGCCCATCTTCATTAGCCCAGTAGGAGCAGAACAGTAGGACATTAAACCCCATTTCAATTGGTTTCATGTGTAAATGAAGCAGGAATGAGGGGCCTGACAAGTTGTTTACATGTTGGCAAGATCCTGTGACAGTTCACATTCAATATGCCGCTGTCCGGGTAAAATTTCCCTCATAGTCATAACATACTGCATGGTGTGTGTCCATATTTGTAGGGCATTAAACACTATTTGATTTCATTATTCTGGTGAAATTTGTTTGTGTGTGTTAGATATTTTTTGTTCTTGTCTATAGCGAAATGTTGTTGATAATACTAGCAACGACTGGTATTCTACTTTACGATCTGGTACTGTGACTGTTTTGTTTGAATTTTCACAATTGTTTTTTCTTTTATTGAAGATGACCAAAAAAAGAAAATAAATGTTCCTCATCAGAAATCATTTTCACAAACTTCGACGCAGAAGAACACCATCATTGCTGAACAAAAGGGTAATTCATGACGTAAAATTTATGTAGATTTTTGTAAGAATTCTGTCCCCATGATGGCACTGTTTCACTCACCAGACTGTCCATCTCCTTCGGGAGTAGGGTCGCCTGTCCAACCTCGTGGGTTTTCTCCGGGTCCTCTGGTTTCCTCCCACTACTAAAGACCCCTACGCGCAAGCGAATTATTTAAATAAAATTGAACCATGTGTTAGTCCCAAATGACCAAGTTTGTGTCAAGTGGGGTTAAACCCCATCTCTCTCTCTATCTCTCTCTCCATCTCATTCTTGGCCAAGATAGTTCCTCTAGTCTGGTCTGGTTTCCTTGTGTCAGTGGTGTAAGACAGGATGGCTTGATAAGGAAAAATGTCATTTTCGAATTGGCATCATGTGAAAGATCATCGGACAGAAATCGAAATAAAGGAAGGCCATAACAGCGCTGTCTGGGCAGAATGTCACTCATAACACACCACATGGCATATGCACATTTCATTTCTTTGAGTCCCACATAGCACACTGTATGACGTATTCCCATCTTCATTAGTCTGGTTGATGCAGAAAATTTATCGCAATATAGCCCAGCTGGAGTTGACGTGCCATAAAACTCAATTCCATTCCATTCATTTCATTGTAATTTTTAACTTTGAAAACACTAGTTTGTAAAATTTTATTTTATGGTAGATAATATTAATAGTCTATTTTCTGTATTTCAGAAGTTTTAAGAAATCTGACAGATATCAAACTAATAGTCAAGAATCTCAGTTTTAAGACAAAAGAAGAAAATTTAAAACATTTTTTTAATGGCGCGAGTTCTATTCATGTTCCAAAATTCTCAGATACAGGAAACTCAAAAGGGTAAGTTATTTGACGAGAGTAAGGGGGGGGGGGGTGATGGCCGAATGATTAGAGAGTGCGGGTTGTATCATAAGGTGTGTCATTGAGTCAACAGGCGTGGTTTCGATTCCCCGGTTGTACGTGACAAGGAGTAGGGTCGTCTGTCCAACCTTGTGGGTTTTCTCCTGGTCCTGCGGTTTCCTCCCACTGCTAAAGACCCCTACATGCAAGCAAATTATTGAAATAAACTTGAACCATACATTTAGTCCCGAACATGAGACCTCCAGGTTAGCATGCCAACACCTTACTCACTTAGCCACCATGGCTCCCTCTCTTTATACTGCAATGACCATGTAAAAATAACCATCTATGTATTATAAACGAACACAAATACAGTTACAGCTTTATGATGTTGAGAAAATACTATTCGAAATGTTGCCTATATAATATATTACTAGCTGTTTTAGTTTAGGGAGGTTGGATGGCCGATTGGTTAGCTCGTATGCATTGTATCATAAGGTCTGTCATTGAGTTAACTAGCGTTGATTTGATTCCCCGGTTGTACGTGTCAAGGAGTAGGGTTGCCTGTCCAACCTCGTGGGTGTTCTCCAGGTCCTCCAGTTTCCTCCCACTGTTAAAGACCCCTACGCGCAAGCGAATTATTGAAATAAAATTAAACCATATTTTAGTCCTGAAATGACCTAGTTTGTGACGAGTGGACCTTAAACCCCATTTCTATCTCTCTCTCTCTCTCTGTTATTAAATGCCTCTAAAAGATTACTGTATATTATGTTGTTCATATTTTTTGTAGGTTTGCTTTTGTTACGTATAAAAGTAAAGATGATGCGAAGATTGTAAAACATTCTATGAATCGAAGAAAAATTGATGGTAGAAGAATCAGTATTCATTTTATGGCAAAATCTGGTGAGTTGATTTATTATCAAGCTAGTCATCTTCAATAGAAGGCTTGATCTTGCTTTAACTCTGTATATCTTATCTAGCCCTTTATGTAATACCCTGCATATTTCGGCACTTATTTCGATTGGGTATTCACCCAGCTTGTGAGCCTATCAGATTCCCCGATCATCCTGAATACCCAGTCTCGCACTTTCCAGCTAAAATGTCTACCCGTGATAATCGAGTTGCAAAGTTCAAGGTTTGTTCAATGTCAAGGTTTCCGTGGAGGTCGTTGTGTTTGATCTCAGCGTGTTTGAATCACAACCACTGATTGGATGTTACTGTTCATATGTCTGCAGTAAAGGGAGATATCGAAGCTATAAGTCAGAGAATTTTAAATCAATCTAGCAACGTCCAGATTTTCTCAAACTCACATTCGTTGATTCAGGAACATGCAAGCTAGTGAAACTTTGATCATTATTCTGTCAAGGTTGATTTGACCCAACAGGACATAATGATCTAACTGGTGCTAACTTGTTTTCCATATAAACTGTGTTATAATTATTTATATATCAAATGGAATTGTTAAATTATTATGTATATGTTTATATTAAATGATCCTGGATTTTTCTTTTCAGAGGTCAAGAATCAGGATTCTAAATCATCCACGCCCAAAAAACCTAATTTATATCCACGGAAACCGTCTTCAGTATTACAAGGTACGATATTTGTTAAAAACACAACCAACTGGATGGTTCATATGTATACTTCTTGAGTTCGGGACGGGGGTTGCGTGACCAAATGGTTTAACATGTCGACGTGAGATCACAAGGTCTGTCATTGAGTCAAGTGGCATGGTTTTGATTTCTCGCTTGTATGTGACAAGGAGTAGGTCATTAGGATCATGTGTTAACCCCCTTGGGTTTCCTCCAGGTTCTCTAGCTCCCTCAGAGTGAGTTATTGGAATAAAATTGAACCATATGTTAGTCTCGAAATGACCTAGTTTATGTCGAGTTAAATGTATAAAGTTAAATTGCCATAGCGTAAGTAAGAATTGATTATTGGAGAGTAAGCGGACAACGCCATTGTTGAACAAAATTTCACTCATTGCAGACTGCATTACCTCCCCACCCCACTTGCAGAAATATACTCTGCCATATGCACAATCGATGCAGCCTTAGACACGTTTTCATATATATGGGTGTCCCCGTGTGCTTCCACTGGTTACATTGAAACGGTCCCATTACATTTGCATTAGATTGTCTTTCCTCCAGCGGAGACGCCATGAAAACGGGCCCTAAATTTTATTGATTTTTTTTTAGTACCAAAGAGACAGTATTCGTTTGCTGATGACAGTGATTGAATTAATCAATAAAATCACATGGAACCGATTCTGATATGCTGAGGAAGAGAGGAATGATGGGTTTTTCCCTTATATCTTGTGTATAGTATAAAAGAATGATGGGTTTTTCCCTTATATCTTGTGTATCATATATATAAAGGAGCTGTGTATGTAACTCTGTACATATGTAAATATACAAGATGATTTTGTTACAATTTGAATGTGAAGACACTTTGTGAGGATAATGATGAATATTGAGATGGATCCTTGTCTGTGAGCTGGGTAGAAATTGTTTTGGATATCGAGATTGAACCTTTTCTGTGAGCCGGATAGAAATTGTTTTGTATATCAAGATTGAACCTTGTCTGTGCATTGGGTAGAAATTGTTTTGGATATCGAGATTGAACCTTGTCTGTGAGCTGGGTAGAAATTGTTTTGGATATCGAGATTGAACCTTGTCTGTGAGCTGGGTAAAAATTGTTTTGGATATCGAGATTGAACCTTGTCTGTGCGCTGGGTAGAAATTGTTTTGGATACCAAATTGAACCTTGTCTGTGCGTATGGATACTGAAATTTCAACCTTGTCCGTTTCGTGAGCATTGGTAGATATTGCTGTAATACTGAGATGGGTCCTTGTCTATTCTGTGTGCTGGGTAGATATTTTAAATTCGGCCCGTGTATGGTTAGTACTGACAGCTGTCAGATTCAAAATGGTGATCTCAACTAATCATTAATCCAAGACAACTGATTAGTATTACTCATTTACGCGATCCGGATTATTGGCGGCCAGTTGATTAATTTATAGTACCCCGCCATGTGATTGACACTCAATAATGGTTAATCCAGGATCAATACGATTAGAATTTTAAGATTTCTTTCAGCCAGTTCTAAAAAAGTATCGCCAGTACCGTAAAAAATTATCGCCAAAATCAAATTTTAATCACCACTTTCATATTTTTATCGCAAATTACGACTCTGGCGACAGTGTAAGCCCTGGATCTCATCGTCAGTAAAATTTATCCATACAATTTAATAATCTCGAAATTTGAATTATTATAAACAGAATGTATATATTATTATTATCTGTCATATACATGTATAACAAAATCTACATGCATTTCAGGGGGGGTTGGATGGCTGAATGGTTAGCGTGCGCGCACTGTATCATAAAGTCTGTCATTGAGTCGACTGGCGTGGTTTCGAATCCCCGGTTGTACGTGACAAGGAGTAGGGTCGCCTGTCCAACCTCGTGGGTTTTCTCCGGGTCCTCCGGTTTCCTCCCACTGCTAAAGACCCCTATGCGCAAGCGAATTATTGAAATAAAAAAATTTAAAAACCATATGTTAGTCCCGAAATGACCTAGTTTGTGTCGAGTGGACGTTAAAACCCATTTCTCTCTCTTTCACATGCATTTCAATTTTCATTTCGACTGATAGGGGTAGCCGAATGTTTTAACATGTGTACCTTGGATCATAAGGTCTGTCCTTGACTAGGGGGGTTGGATGGCCGAATGGTTAGCACGTGTGGGCTGTAGAGAGAGATAGAGAAATGGGGTTTAATGTCCACTCGACACAAACTAGGTCATTTCGGGACTAACATGGTTTAATTTTATTTCAATAATTCGCTTGCGCGTAGGGGTCTTTAGCAGTGGGAGCAAACCGGAGGACCCGGAGAAAACCCGTACAACCAGGGATTCGAAACCGCGCCAGTCGACTCAATGACAGACTTTATGATACAGCGCGCACACGCTAACCATTCAGCCATCCAACCCCCACGTGCGGGCTGTACCATAAAGTCTGTCATTGAGTCAACTGGCATGGGTTTGATTTCCCGGTTGTACGTTAACAAGGGTCGCCTGTCCAACCTCGTGGGTTTTCTCAGGGCCCTCCGGTTTCCTTCCACTGCTAAAGTAAAGACCCCTACGCGCAAGCGAATTATGGAAATAAAATTGAACCATATGTGAGTCCCGAAATGATCTAGTTTGTGTCAAGTGGACGTTAAACCGAATTTCTCCATCTCTCTCTCTGTCCTGGACTCAACTGGCATGTTTCAATTCCTCGCTTATACGTGACAAGGAGTAGGGCCGCCTGTCCAACCTAGAGGGTTTTCTCTGGGTCCTTTGGTTTCCTCCCACAGCTAAAGACACCTACATGCATGAGAATTATTAAAATTATATTGAGCCATATGTTAGTCTTGAAATGACCTAGTTTGTTTTGAGTGGACATTAATCCCCATTTCTCTCTTCCTCTCCCAGTGTGGGCTGAATGAAAACCAAGGAAATATCTGGCAATGACACTACAGCTATGGGGAACGACACATTTTGGATATCTCAATATAGGGACGGATTTTGAGTTTGTTTTGAGTGGACATTAAACCCCATTTCTCTCACTGTTTTTGACTGAACTTGAATTGGCAGAGCCGTAGATATTTTTAAAGGGTGTCACCCATGAGGAAGAAAGTGATTACCAAGTGTAAAAAACTACCGGTAGTTGAAAGTTAAAAAAAAAAAAAAATCAAGGGCTTACCGAATTGATCAGTCTGTATCCAAATTTATTCACACATTGAGCAAACAATTAAAATATATTGAAACAATAGTTATAATATTTTTATTTGACAGAACTGGTCTGACTGTGACATCGTACTGCTCTGCAGAGTTTGACAACATCTAGACGTTGCTAGGATGGTCTCAATTCCCGAACTAAATCTACGTTATCTCCCTTTAACCCCATCACGTGACCGATAGCGTCAAATCAGATGTTGTGACACAAACATACTTTAATCAAACATGCTGACCTCCACAGAAATCTTGACATGGAACAAACCTTGAACTTTGCATCTCGATTATCACAGATAGACATTGTAGCTGAAAATCGCAAAACTTGGACTCTGATAGGCTCCCCAGCTGGGTCAATAGCCAATCGAAATTAGTGCCGAAATATGCAGGGTATTAAGTCAAAGGCTCGATAAGATGTACGGAGTTAAAGCGAGATCAAGCCTTCTATTGAAGATGACACTGGCTGTGAGCGGACCGAATTCCGCGTCACTCGATTGCATTTCTGAAAAATCGTTACTTTCTGAACTGACAATCGAGCACACTCTTTCCCGTGATATCAACTGGCAGACTATTGCCATTCAAGAGACGACCACCGTCAAGATCTTTCACATTACTGGATATATTCGTCAACCGAATTTCGAATATTCTAGAATGATAGGGATAATTATTCGCCATCTGTTTTATACAATAAACCTAAAATTCTAATAGATTGTTTGTTCTTTTATTGAAAATACAGACACCGAATCCCTATTTAATTGTCACATTTGTTTATGGAAGCTTGACTGTGTAACGTGCGTGCGCTGTATCATAAAGTCTGTCATTGAGTCGACTGGCGTGGTTTCGAATCCCTGGTTGTACGTGGCAAGGAGTAGGGTCGCCTGTCTAACCTCGTGTGTTTTCTCCGGGGCCCCCGGTTTCCTCCCACTGCTAAAGACCCCTACGCGCAAGCGAATTATTGAAATAAAATTAAACCATATGTTAGTCCCGAAATGACCTAGTTTGTGTCGAGTGGACGTTAAACCCCATTTCTCTCTCTCTCTCTCGCTACCCGTTTATTTTATTTGCCACCCATATATACTAATTTCCAAAAGAAAGTATACACCGTGTATTTGTGCTGCATCAACCAAAGTCGTTTTCCATGGTATACGGTATTTTGGTAGAATGTCAATTTGTTTCACATTTTTATTTTGCTTACAAATGTTGTGTTTGGACGCAAGAGACAAACTTAGTAATGCTTTATCAAATGTTTTTAATCTAAACAAAACGTAGTCATACTTTTAGTGTGTATACTTTCTTTTGGACATCAGTATATTTTATCTCCTACCTGTATGTTTTATCTGCGACCCGTATATTTTATTTGCCACTCGTTTTATTGGCCACCCGTATATTTTATTTTCCACCCATATACTTCATTTTAAACTGTGTGTTTTAGTTTCCACCCGTATATTTCAATTTAATGCCCATATTTTATTTCAAACCGAGTGTTTTATTTGTCACCCGTATTTCATTTACTACCCATACATATAAGTTGCCCCATAATTTTCAGTAAATCCAATCTGATTAAAACATAGATCCTATTTCGTTCCGTTTTTTTAGTTCAAAATTTCATTTTACTTGTCTTTACTACACTAGGATCTGGAAGATTTTTTATCGTTGACGTGTTCTGGATGATGTGAGGAATTAGCCAATGAAACGGTCTATTACGACGAGTTTTTGGCGTCAGGTGCATGGAACTGTGGGTAATCCACTAGAAACATCAATGCTGATTGGTTAATCAAATATCTGACGCCATAGGGTCAAAAGCCGCTCGTACGACCCCTGACATGACCCTCCAATACAACTGGTCAGATTTTCATGTAATGTAGGTCATGGAAAGTGTATTAAAAAAAACGAAACGAAATATAGATCTATACATGTAGATACAAAATACATGCATGCTATTACCCTATTAGATCTACATGTAGGAGGACAAAAGTCGGTGTGGTATTCTAATCTGAATCGCATGAAACCAAAGCGAATCGGGAAATGAGTCTGACTCTGTTAGTGCCAGATTATGACCAATGCACCGAAACTAATTTTAGCAAGCGTCCATGATTCCTTTTACGATTTGTTCATATTTTGAAGTTTGTTTTGCAAACGTAAATCCCACTTTTAACCATGGTTTCTTTGTAAATACTTGGACAGATCCTTTGACCGTATGTATCAGTTTATGCATTACATTACCAATTTGAATAATATATACATGTATTTTAATCAGATTGCAGTAAATCAGAATTTTCGGGAAAACGGGTAAAGTAAAAAAAACAAAATAAAAAAATAATATAATATTTTTTGGAGGAAATAAATAATGTGAACGAAATTTTGATGAATTGTACGTGATAATAAAATACTAAATTTAACACTTTTTTAATTGAATACGTAGAAATGAAATGACATGGGGTTTAATGTCCTACTGTTCTGCTCCTAAACTGGGCTAATGAAGACGGGCATACGCCATACAGTGAGCTATGAGGAAATTTTGCCCGGGCAGCGGCGCTACGGCCTACTCTTATATCGAATTCCAACTGCCAAGGGATCTTTTACGTGCACGCCAATATGTAAACGGGACCTCGGTTTTTCGTCCCATCCGAACGACTAGACAGCTGTCCTTGTCAGGCCCTCCGTCCTGCATCACTGACAAGGGGAAACCACGCCGGAAAATCTGGATGAACTTTCTCGGCCAATGCAGGGATCGAACACCCGACCGGCGTATTTGTACTGACGGTGTGTTTACTATGGATTTAAACATTTTGTCGCCAGACACTGTTTTGCGAAATAGTAGGGCATTAATCCCCATTTCATTTCTTTTTGCGACATTTTTGTGGCATCGATCATTATTTGTTTCATCATCTTTTCGGGAATGGAATGTATAATTTAATACATTTAAAATCAGTTTAATATACAGTGACATTTTTTTCGGGAATCATCATTATTTGTTTGGTAACCGGTATGGCAGGCCGCGGTTCCGTGGACTCTAATACTATATTCTAATAGTTATAGTCAGTACTATGAAAGATAACAATATTGTTTCAGCCATCACATTTCTCCATTTTGTCTTTAGACTCCATGTTCTGTTATTGTCACAATATTTCATAAACAATTTAATTTGCGTTTCAAAATAAACTTATATCATCGCTAATATTTTGAAAATGGAGAATAATTAATCAAGATGAGACCATAATATAATTTTACATATGTGTTCTTTAGCACAAATCCCCGACATATACACATATTCTCATGTATCAGAACTGACCACTATCAGATTATAAATTAAAACAATGATCCAGATAGCATTTAAAGTTGACATAGAAATATACGATAAATTAAAGTCCCGGTGCGCCATTTTCATTTTTGCATGTACTCAGATTGATTATTTTCCATTTAATTAAGAAAACCAAATCAAAATACCAGCGCTAGATAATGTACCGGCCTGGATTCAATCGGATTTAAAAAAAAGGCCTATCAATAATTTTGGCCGAAAAGAGTAGATCGATGAAATTTTGTAAATACTGAAAGGAATTGAACCATTTTTGGGTTGATATTCCTATTAGAGATTCATATTGGAGATTTCACAATATTGTATTTTGCAAGCGATCGCTAAAATGACGCACCAGGACTTAAAAACAACGAAATGATTAATATCACTATGCGCCTGTCTTTAATTGGGCTCTTCAGATGTTATAAAATAAGGGGAGTTGGATGACCGAATGGTTAGCAGGTGCGCGCTGTCATTAAGTCAGCTGGTGGGGTTTCGATTCCCTGGATGACGTGACAAGGAGTATGGTTGCCTGTCCAACTTCGTGGGTTTTCCCCAGGTCCTCCGGTTTTCCTTCCATTGCTAAAGACCCCTACGCGCAAGCGAATTATTGAAAAAAAATTGAACCATATGTTGGTCCCGAAATGACCTAGTTTTTGGTCGAGTGGACGTTAAACCCCACCTTTCTCTATCTTTGTAAGACAACGTATATAAAAAAATTTGGGGCCTTAATAAGTCCCCCTAACCACCAAGTAGTGTACCTTTGATTAGAAGTGAATATCAATTTTCCTGCATGTTAAATCCACCACATATTTAACGGCCGCACGAGGTCCCGTTCGAAAGGACATATATCGGACAGATACAGCACCACTACGTGTCCATTGTAGCACTGGTCCATTGTTGTCCATAGTACCTGGTCTAAGATATACAGTAGTACTTGTCCATTTTATCCAAAAGGGTGTATATTTGGCAGGATTTAACAGCATACTAGGATCAAACGATGCCACCATATCAACGCCCAAGTATGTCGCTCTTATGGATGTCTTTATGTTATCGTCTATCCCAATCGCCAACTCAAAAACTAAACTAGAGATATTTGTGGACTCAAATAATCCTATTATTCCACCCTTGTAGCCTTTTATCCACACAAGTTCCGATTCCTTATTTTGGATATTTCTGAATTCTGTGTAAGGGGAATCTGCCTCAAGATGAATTACTTCACAATTTGACAAACAGACACCACAAATTAAAACAATAAACTGAGACCACCAAAGAACAGCCATTGCATTCTCTAGACCGTGTTAAGGACCGAGTTTAGATGTTGAAAGTTTAACTATGTATTTAATAACACGCGCTGTTCACGGCCGATTCCTTAATCAAGTTTTAAGTCAATATATAAAACACATTCAGACTAGTTTAAGTATATAATAATTTCTGCCTAGTTACAATGTCATAGAAAATAACTTTATTATCTGTTTAATAGCGGCAAGCTCTTGCTCAGGGTCGTGTTAAGGATCCACAACAGATGTTGAAAGTTTAAATTAAGCACGTGCTGTTTACAGTCGTTCTCAAAATCAAGTATTAAAAGTCAATAAATAAAACAAACTTAGCCAAGTGTATTTCTGTTCAGTTACAATGTCATAGAAAACATCCTTATTATCTGATTGGTAGCAGAACTCTGAAACGGTCCTGGAACATTGTACAGTATCAGTCCATACTATATGCTATAACCAATGACAAGATTGTCTTAAGCCTAGCTTATGACGTCCTACGACGCGATAAAACTGACGGCGACTAACAGCAACTGCGAGCTTATGTTGCTGCGACTGAATTTATCCACGACTGGACGCAACCACGAGCAATCAGTTGATCATAGTCGTAGGCACTTCTGTCGGCTGGCGTCAGTTGCAGAATCATAGCCACAACTGACCAATTGACTGCCACGTGATAACCTTTAAAATGGCCACATTCCACTTTACGCCATGTTTGTTACCGCCCCCTGGGTACCACGTGACTAAATAACCACTAACAAGATTGTCTTAAAAAAAAAACCATTGATCATATTTATGTTGTTTACAATAGATTTCTAAATTAAATACCTGTCCGATAATTATAAATCGAAATCATCCTTAATTCTTATTGTCACCAGGTCGATAAATAAAATCCGACATAGTTCTTATTGTCAGTCCATACAATATGATATAGAAATTAATAGGATGATTATTAATGATTATTGATCATATTTATGTTGTTTACAATAAATTTCTAAATTAAGTATCTGTCCGATAATTATAAATCGAAATCCTTCTTAATTCTTATTGTCACCAGGTCAATAAATAAAATCCGACATGGTTCTTATTGTCAGTCCATACAATATGATACAGATAATGGCTTAAGATAACTATTGTTA